AGCTCATAGGCTTTGAGGTGAGATCTTTTTGAATCCACTCATTATTGCCTATGCATCTAGAGCAGGTTACCTCTAAACCTTGAGTTTTTTAATGATAAAATGGATAAGATAACTTTTTAGAGCTGTCGTGAAGGTTGAAAGAGACAATGCATGTAAAGCTCATGCCCTATTTCTTAGCATCATCCAATAGCTCAGGAAATGGCACAAGTGATTATCATGATGATTGTTGCCTTCTTCTATTTCTATTTTTATATTTCTTAGATTTCAAGTTTCCAGAAGGTAGAAACTCCATTTACACACAGTACTGTCTAAACTGCTCTTAGCATAATGCCACCCCATCAATATTTTGTTTTGACAGTTTTTTTTTCCCAGATCAGTGCTGTCAGTCCTCATTTGTTAAGTCTTTCAGAGACAGAGCCACATCTATTTATCTTGCTCAATAAATCCATATTACTTTAACAAATATTTCTTGATTATGCTGCTGATTCAGCTCTCTTGTTTCCCCTAATCTAGTTGAGAATATTCCAGCATGTCCTCTATTTATGAATACACTTTAATTCAAAATGAAAGAGAGACCATCACTGGTTCAATTAGCTTGGCCTAACATAACCTCTGAGCTTAATTTTTTGATTAACATGGGCATTTTTGCCATTTCATTCTTGCTTTGGCTCCTTCTGCTATGTATGATTTCAAGATGATGATTCCCTTTGGACTTCAGGCTGAAGGCACTTGTCACTTCCAATTCATTATTTCCTTGATATTTGCTCACTGCAGAGCATCTGTCCCCCATGCAAACAGCTTTGGAAGAGGATGCACATCTCTGAAATAGCAAGACAAATATGACGGCTGATTTTATGTTTAGGAAAATAAAAACAGTGGAGAGTTCTTTTAAGGTTTTCAAAATCTTCTATGAATTTATCATATTTAAATTGCTATTCGAGTTTCTGGCAGGTATATTTCCTGTTACAAGGAAGGCCAGTCTGCTCTGCAAATATTCTATTTAGCATTGCCTTCCAGTGTTGTGTGGTTTAACTAAAAATTACATGAATCAGCTGGAAATCTGCATATTTTAGGTACACAACAGTGGGATTTTTTTTTTTTTGAGGGACATAAATAAAATCAGCCACTGACATATGTCACAGTTTTTTGACTCATGACACATATTTAAATAATTTGTTATTCCTTTCTATTAAACGTTTTTAGAACTTCCAATGACTGTCTCCTCAAATAGGTTACGAGTAAAATGCTCAAAATACCAATGCTGCTAGTTTTCCTATCAATTACTTATGTTAAAGACAAAATCCTGAAGTGTTTAACAAATGGTTACAGTCTGTGACACCTGTAACAATTGAGCGTAGCATGTTATAGTGGACTTATAGAGAACAATGGACTTGAAGTCGGGAGTCAGAACACTTTTGTTTACTGAATATTCAACTCTATGTCAGTGAACTTCTTTGGACCTATAAAACACCCGCTTTCTGTGTCTCTTAGGGGTTTCTGGAAAATCTGTAAAAAAAAAAATAGCAGCTAGAAAAATGGTTAATGCACACAGAGTACTAGTTCTCTTGTGACCAACACATGAAAGATTCCATTGTTATTCTTTTTCTCTTTGCAATTACAGCTCCATCTTTTACTAGGAATTCTTCGTGCTTTACTTCTAAGGACATGACACTCAATAATTCATTCCTCAAATGTTCTGGGTACCTGCTAGTACTAGGTACTGTGAGTATAGTAAAATCAGAACAACAGGGTCAAAACTTAGTTAACTATTTAGAAGGCAGTGGAATCTGGAGTTTTCTTCAGGGTTCAGTGTGCCACATAGATTAATTACTTTTAGTATAGATGTCAGGGTAAAATAGGGAAAGTCACAAACAAGTAATAGAAATACAACAAACTTAAAGGAGATATTGATTTGTAGTAAAAATAGTAGCATGACATTTACCTTGAGAAAAATCGGTCCTATAAAACCTGTTTTCTACATTTTGAAAACAAAACAAAACAAAACAAAAAACATGGCTGTGAAATAAGAAATTCAGTTGATTAGCTTAATACTCCTAGTAAAAATGCCAAAGATCTGAAAACGATTGCATTTGCCACATTCCACAGTTTAGAAAGAGTTGGATGTCTGGAAGGGTAAAGAACAATCAGCTGATGATGGAAGGGCTTTCTATTAATACACTTGGATTTCCTTGAGAAGACATATATGTAAAGGTTTACAATGAATGACCTTTCCCCTCCATACTGATAGGCATTATCAATACCAGTATTGTCCTAAGGGCAGAAAATGTTCAGTAAATCTGGATGTCTTTCATGAGTCATCCCACCAGTTAACATACACTAGTTGAGCTGAGGTGTTTCACCTGTTTTCCTTTGGCGAAAGGGTACTACTGGAGCCTAACACATAGTCTTATAAAGTCTCATCCTCTTTGTATTATAGATTGTATGGAAGCTTAAATCAGAGCCATATCCCCTTCATTTGAAAAGATTTCCTTCCTTTTGAACAAGGAATTCTAAGGATATTTCAGTTTTTCTGCCGTTATATTACCTTCAACAGAATCTTTATAATAAGCCTCTAGTGGATTATATGGCTTCTGCCCTCTGGAAGATTTTTGGTGTTGGATATGACATTAGAACAAGAATTGGGAGATATTGGTGAGTGTGTGCAATTTGTTTCAGGTAGGGTTTGTAGAAGTAACCTGACTTCTCTGGGCTTCAGTTTCCTTCTTTGTAAAATGAATGAGTAGGATGAACATATCTCTTAGATCACTTTAACTCAGCTGATACTGTGGAGCAATTGGATGTCAAGGATACAGACATGTCTGGAATTCTATACTCAAGGGCATTAATAATTTCCTATTATCCTATGAAATGCAATTTCAGTAAGGTAGAACATCTCACTATTTCCAACATACCACATAATTATTTTCCTTCTTTTGACTTTTCCTGTAGATTTTTCCTCATCTGGCATGCCTATTTCATCCTACCTGAATATCTAATCCCACTCATGTCAATGACAAAGCTTTAAAGTCTGACATAATCACAAATTATGTACTATTTCTCTTTTAGAAACACATAGAACTTACCAAAGCAGTAACTACACTCTACACATCTAATAAATACTAATCCTAATAGCTTAATTAATAACTTTTCAGCATTTAGCTTTGCAAAATTATACAGTAAATGAATCAGATATTGTTTCCCAAAATAATGTAATTGTGATCTATTATTGATCTTGCATAGATCAAGCATATTTCCTCTATTTCTAAATTTAAAAAGCAATGTTTGTAATATTTGTCTTATGCTGTGCTGTGGCCTGAATGCTTATACAGCCCATTTCCCAAATTCATATTTTGAAATCCTAACCCCCAATGTGATGATAGTATTAAAAGGTGGGGTTCATGGGAGGTATTATGTCATGGGGCTGGAACCTTCATTAATGAGATTGGTGCCCTTATAAAAGAGATTCTACAGAGATCATCACCCCCTTCTTCCAGGTGAGGACTAATGGAGAAACTGCCATCTATGAACTAGAAAGCAAGCTCTCTTCAGATAGTGAATCTTCTGGCACCTGATCTTGCACTTTCCAGGCACCAGAACTACAATACATAAATTCATGTCATTCATAAGCTATCAAATTTATGATATTTTGTTTTAGCAGCTGGAACTGATCAAGACAGCTTCCTATATAAGAAAATGAACCAGACATTTTTCTTCAGCAGTTTCAATCAAGTACAGTTTTAAATATGTTAACACGAGAAGGTCACATAAAGAAAGGTATACATGATGTCATGCTTTTGCCACAAGGGGAAGATTTTGTAGCCTGAGCACCCATGAGAAATATTTTGAAATAAAAGCCTATTATCTAGGAAAATATTACAGATGATTGCACAAAGAAGGAAAGAAAATACCTCCAGTGTTGACAAAGCAAGTAGCAACCATTTCTGAAGAACATATTGAAGATATCCAAAAAGTCTCTTAAAATCTCAAATCTGAAAACTGGGGCAAACCAAGGCTGAACACTACACATAAGGTCTTCACAAACACTGAAGTAGCAAATATAGAACCGTTGCTCCTAGAAGAAATACAGGGTCATGTTTCTGGTCCTAATGTTTTTATCAATTGATCATTCACCTTGCATTTTGTGTGTTTCTACTTAAAAACATTTCATTTAATAGTTGTTTTTGATGCATTAACATTGAACTCACAGAAGGCACCATGACTCATGCCTGCACAAAACATGTCTAACATGCCTGTTTTCTCTGTAAGGCACTTGACAGTCTTCTTGCACTTAGGAACACTAGACAGCACTTCAGCACTATAATCAGGGCCCATTTTAAACAGCCAAGTCATCAACAAGAAGCACAAAATGCGAAAAACATGGCATAAATAGACTGCAAAATGGACACATGTTTACAATATGAGAGATGAAATAAGAAGGCAAAGTGCTGCCTTGTTTGAATTCAGCTGGAAGTACAATCTTCAGAAAACTCAAATTTTCACCACTCTGCTCATGTCTGTGAGTGATTGCAAAAGTGAAGTGCATATTGATTTTGAGGGTACAAATAAATTTTAGCAAGTAGGCAAATTTGCAAATGCAGAGCCTACAAATAATGAAGATGATTGTATTTGTTATTAGATCTGTTGAATTCCAGTGCTCATCAATCTTTTTCTTCTCTAACTCCTAATAAAAGGAGCTTTATATTTCTCTTGGATATAAAAGTGATACTCTACCATGTAGAAAAATAAAGCCATACTGAAATATTTTTATCAATAGAACATAATCACCTTAAGTCAATGATGTCTTTCTATATATATGTATATATTTGCATTGATTTGGTTTGGTTCTGTGTCGCCACCCAAATCTCATCTCGAACTGTAATCCTGTAATCCCCATGTGTCAAGGGAGGGACCTGGTGGGAGATGACTGGATTACAGGGGTGGACTCCTCTGTGTTGTTCTTGTGATAGAGTGAGTTCTCATACAATCTGATGGTTTTATAGGTGACAGTTCCTCCTTGTTCACTCTCTTGATGCCACCATGTAAGATGTGCTTCCTCTTCTCCAATGATTGCAAGTTTCCTGAGGCCTCCCCAGCCATGCAGAACTGTAAGTCAATTAAACCTCTTTCTTTTATAAATTCTCATTCTTGGGTATTTATTTATAGCAGTGTAAAAACAAACTACACATGCATATACACATATTTTCTATAAACTACTCTCTTTTAACAAGTCTAGAAAAGAATAATTGCAGAACTCCCATTAAGCATTAAATATAGCTATGTATAATCATTTTAAATGGCTGCATGACATGCTTTCACTAATCTCCTATTGATAAACATATAGCTTGCTTCTAATAATTATCTATTCTGGACACTGGTGAAAATTCACCTATCTCTGTGTATATGTCCAATTGCATTTGCCAAATGTTTCTAAAAATACAATTTAGATTTAAATTCTTACTCAACTGCTGTCAAAGGTTTTTTCCTATTTTAACCATGCTCTATAATGTTGCATATGCCATTGTATCAATTCTTCTGTTTAACTTGGTTTTGGGAGTTATTACCTATGATCATGGGAAAATAAATAATCACATCACATTATTCACAATCAAATATTAGTAGATGATCTGGCACAAAAAAAGATTACCAGAAGAATTGCAAGAGTGTATAAGGTAAAGATCCAATGCTGATCAATTTTGATAATGTGGCAGTGGTGGCAGCATAGCTTTTGAGTCTCTGAATCTCTGGACAGAGGAGCTAGATATAGATAAGGAGCTAGATAAGGCATAAGTCATGGTGCCTTCTGTGAGTTCCATGTTAATACATCAAAAATAACTATTAAACAAAATATCTTTCAGGAGAAACACACAAAATGCAAGGTGAATGATCACTTGACAAAAATATTAGGACCAGAAACAGAACCCTGTATTTCTTGTAGGAGCAATGGTTCTATATTTGCTACTAACAAAACCAAAAGTTCACAGAGAGCATGCGCCATGTAACTAGGGGACAAGGTATTAAAAACCAAGCAGGCTCTCAATTGAAAGGGCTGAACGCTGTTAACATCTATATGGAAGAAAACTGGAAACCAACCAGGTAGGCTGATGGACCTGAGAACAGGAGAATTCCAAAATACTGACAGCTGTTACCTGGAAAGGGCTTTAGATTAATTTGAAAACCGCAAATACATTGGGAGGAACCTCCCCAGTCCAGTAACAACAGAGTGCCAGGGGCTGACAGTAAGAGTATGATGAGAACGGGGCAGTCTAACGGCTTTTGTGAAACTTCAGAAGTGACTTGTTTTGTTTTGTTTTGGTCTCTCTCATGCTCAGAAAAAACTATGGGAAATGGTTTCAAAATTTAGCAAGCTAAGGTTAAAGGCGACAGGAGAAACTGTTCAAAAATTATTTTTGATCATTGTCAAACTTTTTGTATCAGCTTCAATTTATGCCAGAAGAAAACGGGGTCACATATTTTATAGTTTCACAGGGAAAAATGCTTTTTTTGAGATAGGCCTCCTCTGTCACCCCGGCTGGAGTACAGTGGTATGATCATGGCTCACTGCAGCCTCAACTTCCTGGGCTCGGGTGATTCTCCGATGTCAGCCTCCTGCGTAGCTGGAACCACAGTTGTGCACCACCATGCCCAGTTAATTTTTGTATTTTCTGTACAAATGGGATTTGTTCAGCCATGTTGCCAGGCTGGTTTCTAACTCCTGGACTCAAGCAGTGCCCTTGTATCGGCCTCCCAAAGTGTTGGGATTACAGGCCTGAACACAGTGCCTGACCAGCAAGACACTACAGTATTAGAAGCAAAGTGTAATGTTATCAACTTGCAAGGACTCAGAAAACATTGTTTTCAGAAGCCCGTCCAGTGGAATCTGTGAGTGGATGAGCTAGATCTACTCACAAAATAAAAAAATTTTAGTGGTAGACATTATAAACACAGTTACTTGTAGATCCCCACTAACTGAGAGTCAAGGGAAAGAGGTTCCATGTAATGATGATATACTCAGGTAATGTAGCTCATGAGACCTAGTTGTACACATTTCTTTGCAATTCTGTTTTCAGAGATTTCACCTTGGTAGCTTGAAACTGGCCATAATGGGAATATTTACACCAAGGAGTCCATCAAATGCCAAAAAGCAAGGCTTTTTGCCATGTTTTGTTTGTATAAATGTGGTTGCTCAATATTTACTGTCTTGGTGGGGTTGGGCTGGGCTGCCATAACAAAATACCATGGACTGGGTAGCTTAAACCACAGAAAGTATTTTGGGCCAGTTTAAGACTAAGGTGTTAGCAGGATTACAGTAGTGAGGGCTTTCCCATAGGATTACAGACCGCAACTGCCTTGTTGTGGTATGCTCACATGGCCTTTCCTCAATACGTGTGTGTGTGCGGTCTTTGTGTGTTGTAGGGGTCACTTTCTGGTGTCTCTTCTTATTAGAACACCAATCATCTTGGATTGAAGCCTCATCTTTTTGACCACAGTTAATTTAATTACTTTCTTAGAGGCCCCATATGGAATTATAGCCACACTAAGGGCAGGAGTTTCAACATCTTAATTTTCGAGATGGGGAACATTCAGTCCTCATTTACCGGTTTGAACTGCCAGTACAGTACCTCTGAGCATGCATAGTGCCTAGACTGTAGTTTTGAAATACTGTATGCCACTAAAATGATGTCACAACTTCTTGGAGAAGTGGCTGATTTCAGGTTGAAACCTAAATGTACAAGTCTAAAATATAAAATAGCTTGTCATTCCAGATAGGAAGCTATCATAGACTAATGATGTCAAAAACTCAGGGGTCAATTTAAAGCGGTCCCTGCTAGCCAAAGATGGGCTAATTCATATTTCAAAAATAAAGTAATTACAGTTATTAAAATCATTAGATGTGTTTACATCCGTGAGTTCATAGTCATGTCTTCTAAAAACTGGCTAGCCTTTTAGAGTATGATAGTTAATTAATCAATTATCTTGAAACTGGTAAACAAAGGGAAAATTTTGTCCTGCCTCTTCTGTATGAATTGTAATCCTAGGAACCCAACAAGGTAGTGCAAAAATAGTATCCTTTAATAAAAATAATAAATATCTAAATTAAAAAGTAATGATCAACTATAGTTTCTATATTTTTCAATCCCCAATGTATCAATGGATTCAGGCATTGAATATAAATAATTTCTTTTCCAAAACGATAAAAAACCAGAGCTTATAGGCCTCATTTAGAAAGGGCATGATACTAATACTATTGCCAATGGGATCAATCCTGAATCTGCTCAAGCCTCTGAATTCACCTACCAATTTGCAGAAAATACAGAGCCCAGAGGAACATATTTAAACATACCATGAATATATAATCTGCAAAATCCAGAGACTGTGAGAAACTACAGATTAAACATTTTGTAGATAAAGAACAGGATGTACATTTAAAGGGCACAGTAAATCAAAATTTTAAAGTGGCACAGATAAAGGAGGGTATTTTGAAAGAAACGTCTGGGCTAAAGCACATACACACACACACACACACACACACACACACACACACAACACCCATAGAGGAAAGTGATTGCTGTAGAAGTGAGGGCACTAATTGCATATGCGAAGGGGGAGGGTTGAAACTGGAGGGACCACAGGAAAGGGCCTGGGGAGTGGTTGGCCAAGGTTGTATTTCTTGACTCCCTTGGCTTCTCCATACATCTGATTTGTATGATTTTTTTTTTTTGTATTTGTGTTTTATTTTGCAATAAATTATTTTTAAAAGGGATTAATCTCTCAAAATACATGAGGGATCTTTCAAAATATCTGAATAAGACAATGAAAAAATGTGATTATTGAAGTAGTAACTAATACTCATTGCAATTTCATACTTTATAATATGCAATAATTAAGCTATTTAAATATAAGATGCCAAAACAATTAACTAAAATATTAAACTTTTCACTAAAGAATGTTTTTTAAGGGGCTTCAGATCTTGCCAAACAATAATCTAACTGAATTTCACTAATGAATGTTTTTTGCTGAATTGACTGAATTAACTATTGTTTGTCATATGTGAGACAAAGATTTGAAACATATCTGAGACAATGGTCTTGATTAAATTGTCTTGGTAATAGAATCTACACTATGGTTTTTTGAGATGAATACCATACAGAGACGGAAAGAATTAACATGGTAACATATAAAAATTGATAACATGTTTTAAAAGCACTTATTATAAGAAAGTTCTCACAAAGTTTATTCAATAAATACCTTAATCTACAGTTCTTCAATGAGGTTTATCAAAGCTCTAAGAATAGACCAGGCTGAGATGGTTACCATCCCCAAATCTGAGGAGAGTATTTCCATCCGTATGGTGATTTATTACTTGGTATATATTCATGCATCAAGTCAAACAGTAATTCATGTATTTCCTTTTTTTCCTTACTTCCAACCCTCTCCATCCCCATTCCTTTGTGCAGTAGTCCCACTGCCAAGCAGGTATGGAAGTTGAAGTTGTATTTCTGGGATTGTGGGTGGAAGGGCAGTGGTCTACCATATAAAAGGATTAGAGCAAGTAGGAAACCATGAGAGCACCAGAGAGAAAGGGCATCTGGCTCTGAAACTGTTAGCCTCAGGGGGAGGTTATCCTCAGGTTGACAGCTGTGAGCCCTCATTAGGGATCACTTGGAACCCAGATCAAGAGGGGAGGAAGCGTATTAGCAAGAAGAGTCTTATCTGAGGGCAAACTAATCTCTGGAGTCTTGCAAGTTCCCTGCTGTCTTACCCTGGAAAACTCATGAAGCAATTTATACAGTTCAAAGCCCTCCAGAATTTAGGGTTTTGTATTATTGTGGATATTTGATAGCATGTAGCCTGAATTTTTATTCCAAGCTCCTCTTCATTATATTCTGCTTTGGTCCCCATTCTTGGAAACCATAAATTCATTCTTTCCTTGTCACTTCGATTTTTAAATAGCCTGCTTCCGCTTAGTTATTGCTTATTCGTGTTGTGTTTACTTAGCTTTGCTTCTTCTCAGTCACTCATTATTGTCTTAAACAGGATCCGTATGTTCCTGTGAGTCACCTTCCTACGAATGTCATCACTGGTAGTGAAGTGCCACAACAATACA